ACGGTGCCTGCTTCAGGGCCTTGGTACCCACCATGCTGCTGGCCAGATACACACCTGGGGCAGGTGTTTGTGAGCCTTGCTCTCACTTACTTTAAGCCTCTGTTTAAATGTTAGGTTCTCAGAGAGACCTTCTAGGACTTACTTGCTTGTCTGGTTTCCCCACTAGGACATAAACACGTGGAGGCCAGGACTTTGCAGTTTTGTGGCTGCTCTGACGGCACTGTGTAGGACAGCCTGGCGCTCGGCAGCTCTCAGGAACATTGACGGGGTTGATGGGTGGGTGGCTTCATCTGTTCATCTACCTATACTGAGAACTCTCCAGTGCCCGGGCCCTGTGCTAAGCATAGAGAAAAATACACAACAACCTAGATAAAGCTCCTCAAAGAGCTTGCCACAGAGTGGGGGTGACAGAATGTGACATGATGGGAATAATTAATAATGAGTAAGCACTTGTATACCAGGCACTTCGTATACCTTGCTCTGTCATAGCAATGAGTTAATACTAGTTGTTCTCGTCTTAAACCCATTTTTAGAAAGACAACTTCAGGCTTAGATTATATCGTTTGACCAAGGTCATTTAGCTAGTAAGGTACAAAGAACCTGGAGGTGTTTGAGTCTCTCTCCTAACCACTATGCCCTGTGGCTTCTCAGACCAATGAGAACTTTACTCCTTCCTTACGGAGAAAATTCTTCCATACCTGAAATGCCCATGCAGTTTTCTCCCTGTTCCTTGGAAGTTGGGCGGGGGTGACAGGAGGTGGTAGACACAGACATCCAGGGTTCTTAACCCCAATTTGGAAGACAGTGTGATTACTTAATGTGTTGAGAGCTATGTCATGAATAATATGTTACTATGAAGTAACTTAAGTTCATAGTTATATGAAGTATACTTATATGAAGTTTTCTAGTGTCTTTTAATTGTGTTAGCACAGACACACTGTGAGCCTTCCAGCTTGCATAATGTTTGTTGTACTTTCTTGACTGGGAGTGAAAGAGTTACAGCCCACAGTGAGAGAGTTACAGCTGGCAGTGACATCCCTCCCTGGAGGGATGTGGCAGATAGAACTGGGCATCTTCCTCCAGTTCACAAGGGCAGCAGTAATGGAATCTTACCGGTTTCATTATCTACAGTTCCTTCCAAGTTAGAATTAAGTGTTGGAGGGTGTCCTTGTGCTGGGGCTCTGGTTTCCAAGGAAGTGGGGTTGTGGGGAGGGGGAATGCACCAACCCCATACATACTTACTGTTTGTAAGGGAGGCCTCAGCCCCTCAGGGAGCTAAGGTGGGCAGTGTGTGAAACTTCAGAGACTCTCTCTTACTCCATTGGCTCCTTCTGACCCCTCTGGGTGATTCTGATACTAACCCGACTTGGGAACCACTGACTTAATCCTCCCAACTGCTTAGGGAAGGTGAAGGAGCAATCTCATAGGTGTGGAGAAGCATTGTGTGGCTTTGCTAGAAAGGGTGGCAGGAAGCAACTGTCTGCTTTTGTGGTGAGTTCCCCCCTGCACTTTCTTCTTGTACATTCAAGATTTTTTTTTTTTTTTTTGAGACAGAGTCTCAAGCTGTCGCCCTGGGTAGAGTGCAGTGGCATCACAGCTCAGAGAAACCTCCAACTCCTGGGCTCAAGCGAGTCTCCTGCCTCCTCCTTCCAAGTAGCTGGGACTACAGATGCCCACCACAATGCCCAGCTATTTTTTGGTTGCAGCCGTCATTATTGTTTGGCAGGCCTGGGCTGGATTCAAACCCGCCAGCTCAGGTGTATGTGGCTGGCACCTTAGCTGCTTGAGCCATAGGTACAGAGCCAAGTTTTTTTTTTTTTTTAAAGAGACCAGGTCTCTCTATGTTGTCTGGCCTGGAGTGCAGTGGCCATTCACAGGTACAATCATATCTCACTGCAACCTCAAATGCCTGGGCTCAATACATCTTCCCTCCTCAGCCTCCCAGGGAACTAGGATGACAGGTGTACACCACTGTGCTTGCCTTCAAGATTTTGTATTATGAAAAATTTTAATGTATTTTGTGTTTTTGTAGAATTACTTTCACAAAATTACCCTTTGACATAATTCTATCAGTTTGCATTGATGTATACCATCAAAGAGTCCTATGGCACTACTTACTGTACTCTACTGCCAGGACAGTACGTGTTCTCTATAATTTTCCAGTTTTCTGAAGACCAATAGTACAAATTTCTCTTTGGATTTAATATCAAGAAAGCTTTGTCATGAAAAATTGTGTTTCACAATATTCTTGTGTACACGGACTCTTGACACGGATTGTACTTGCTCCTTTGCTCGTGCTGCTCTGTTGCTGTGTATGTTTAAAGCCAAATTTGTGGGCCATGAAATCTACTACTGTACAGAGGTTGTCATGAACACTGTGCGCATCAGCCTTCCTCACAGCTGTGTCTCTAT